GAAGGTATCCCTGCGCTGGGACCCCTGTCGCCGCGGCCTGGGGCCTCAGGCAGGACGGGCGGTGGGCTGGGAGCCGGAGACCCCCAGCGAGGCGCGGGCTGAGGGAGGGGCTCACCCGGACCGTCGGGCCCTCCCTGCGGGGAGGAAAGGCGGAGTGCGTGCGCCCGGCCCAGCCTCGGAGTGCGGGTCGGGGAGGAGGGGAGCCCAGGCGCCGCCCCTGGCTGAGTCATCCGCCGGAGGGGGAGCGGAGGGCAAGGGAGGGCCTAGGGCAGGCGCGGGGGCAAAAACCTGCCGGATCAGTGCCTGCTGCCCGCAGGGGCCGTGGCTGGGGCAACGAGAAGCAGCTTTGACCCCAGAGGCGCCACCCACAGGAATGACTGCCCGACCCTAACGGGTCCCTTCAAGGAGAGGACCCCCGTTCCAGAGGTCTGTAGGGCACCTCGTGCTTAGGGTGGGGCAGGCCCGGGAGAAGGGTCCTGGGCTCCAGAGCTTCACCCCCTGGAGGGGAGGTCGGTGAGCCCGCAGAGGACCACAGAAGACAGTCGGGCATCGGGGGCAGCCGTCCCGCCCGCCTGGCAGGGAGAGGGTTGGCCCCAGAGAGAGCTGCCGGAGGTGGGGGGGTGCAGGTGATGCATGCAGTGTGAATCTTCCGGATCCCGTTCAGGGCAGCGCCCTCCTCCGGGCCCATAAGCCACAACTCCACCTTCTCTCGCCGTGGTCCGTTGTCCCAAGCGGTGGGATAAAGGGAAGCCCAGCAGCAGCACAGAAGCATTGTCCCTGAGGGGATAGCGACAGGGCTCCCTTCGGGGAGGCGACATCAGAGAATTGCCACCAGCCTCGAGGTCCCAGTTCCCTGATGCCTCAGGCACAGCAGCCCACAATGGCCGGGCTCCAGGCTGTCAGGGGCGGTGGTCCGCAGACCCGTCCCCCCCCCCCGCCCCCCCGTGACCCCCTCCTGATATTGATGCTATTCATGCCCTCGAATAGTCCCCTCGCCTTGAGTGTGGCCTGATCCTGGTCCCTTGCTTGTAACCAACTAAATAAGGCCAAAGTGGCGCTCCTGGGATTAGGTTACAAAAGATGGAGTCAAGAAAGTCTTGCTGTTACTTTCTTGGCCTGTACACGTTCATGAAGCAGGCTGCTATGTCTGTGTTCCAGAGGCCACGTGGCTAACAGTCAGTGAGAAGCCGGGGGCTTTCAGTCCAAAGCCCACAAAGAATGGATTCCTGCCAATACCTCGTGTGCTTGGAAGTGGGTCCTTGCCTGGTCAAGCTTTCAGGTGAGGGGCGGCTTGTACCTGATTGCAGGCTTTGCGTGAGGCTGTGCCCGGACTCCTGACCCACGGCGGCCATGCAGTGCTGTGCGTTGATAAGCCGGGAGATGGCTGGTTACACAGCAAAAGGTGAGTTTGCTGGGGCTGCTTGTAACAAAGCTGCACGGACCGGGCGGCTCAAACCACAGAGATGTATCCTCTCCCGGTCCTGGAGGCTGGAAGTCCGAGATCCAGGCGTGGGCAGGTTGGTTCTCCAGAGCCCTCTCTCCCTGGCCTGTAGACGGCTGTCTTCTCCCTTGTCCTCTCAGTGTCTTTGTGTGTGTCTGGGTCCTGTAAGGTCACCCACGGGTCATATTGGATTACAGCCCACTCCGAAGACCTCATTTTATCTTGATCACCTCTGTAAAGGCCCCATCTCCAAATACATAATCCGAGATGCTGGGGGTTAGGACTCAACATATGATTGGGGGGTGCACAATTCGGTCATCACAACAAGTAGTACCCTTGCCCCCTAATGGCCACTCTGGCCGTCAGCAATAGGACATTTTATCTGGGCACTTTTTCACTTAGTTAAAAGACATTTCCCATCCTTCCTTTTAGCTGGCAGTAGCCATGTGACTCAAAAAGTTCTGGCCAGTGAGATGTAAGCACAAGTGATGGGTGTTAGTTCTGGAAAGTGTCCTTAGAAGGAAGGGGCACACCTTCTTCCTCCCGCTGCCTGGAATGGGGATATATTGGTTGGCGCTTGAGAAGTCATTTTGGGTCACAAGGGTGAAAAGCACATCCTGGCAGGACAGAGCTCGGAGCAGCCAGGGTGGAGGTGCGGCCCCAGCCTAGCCCGAGGAGCTGTGAGAGAGAAATACAATTCTGTTGTGTGTAAGCTACGGTGCTTCGGATCACTGTTTATGCGCTCCTGAGCCAAACTGTAACCAATCCAGAGAGGCTGAGTCATGAGACCTCATTTGCCCACAACAGCTCGTGGCTGCTTCAGCCAGGGCAGGAGGAAAGTCATCTGCCCAGAACTCACTATAATCCTGACAGGAAATCTTACCAGAGAGCCTGATAGAAAGTGACTGTCACAAATCAGAGCCATTAAAGATGAACACAGCTGGGTGGGCAGTTTCGCCTGGTGTCCCCAAAGCCTTAAAAACAGGCAGAGGTGATTTATATATTAATCCTTGTGTCTTTCTGTATTTTTCAAATCTTCTGCAACAAACCTGTACTATTTGGGGGGGGGGGGAACGTTAAAAATAGGTTTGGGTGGGGAGCTAAAAATGAAAGCCTAGCAACACACTGTGATGATCCTGCACAGGGAAAGAGGGAGATATTTAAAGCCCCCAACGCCCCCCACAAATGGGGTACACTGCAGCTGGGGGCCACCCACTCTGAATCCCAAAGCAGGTAGGAGCCCGTGGGGCATGAGGCAGAGCCACAGGGAACAGGGTGAGTGGGCTGCAAGCTCCCAAGGGTGCCTTGGTGGCTCCTGCCCGTCTCCCCTGAAGCTTCTTGCATTTGAGAGTGTCCTTGCTGTGTATTTTAATTCTACGTAAGTATACACATGCGGACCGCAGAAAACACAGACACAGTAATTGTTGGTTTGCACACTCAACATTTGTTCAAATTGACTGCATGTTTACCGTTTTTCTTACTCCTCATTCCCTCCTACATCTCCGATCTTCCATCTGGGATCATTTTCTTCTGCCTGGAAAACACCCTATAGAGTTGCTTTTAGTGGGCCTTTTATTGCTGAAATCTCTGTTTCAGTTTATCTGAAAAAATCTTTACTTTGTCGTCATTCTCAATGGATTTTTGGTTGGGTATAGAATTCAAGGTTGGCAGATAACTTTATGCGGCAGATGAAAGATCTGGACTTCACTGTCTTCTGCTTTTCATTCTGGCTGTTGAGAAGTCCATTGTTGATTTAATGGCCACTCCTCTGAGTGTGATGGGTCTTTTTTGCCCCTCTGTCTGCTTTTAACATCTTCTCGGGGTCTTCGGCTCTCTGTAGTTGCACCGTACCATGTCGGTATGTACGGAGAGACAAGCCTGCCTCTTGGCAGTGACCCTGGGGATCCCAGTCCATCAGTGATGTAGCAGTGGGCTGCCCAGCAGGAAGGGCTCAAAAGGCTGGCTGATACCCGTTCTGGAAGTTCTGGAATGCTCGATCCCTGGTGAAAGATGTCTGGGATCAGGATGTTCTTTTTAGCAGCAAAGCCACTGCCCAGAGCCTGAAGTCAGCCAGCACCGCATGGCCAGCCAGGGGTTCCCTGTTCCCTTCGAGCCCCCGTAAGCACGCATGATGACCAGGCGCATAGCCCCACACTTCGGCCACATGTGGCTATCAAGCATTTGAACAAAGGTAATGACTCTGCATTGAGATGTGCTGTTAGGTGTAAAAACACACCAGATTTCAAATACTTAGTACAAAACAGCGACATATCAATATGTGAAGTTCCTCTCGGCGGGGGAGAATGGACGGTTGGTGTTTAGTGAGGACAGTGTCAGAATCACAAGATCAGTTCTGGAGACAGACAGTGGGAATGGCTGCACGGCCTCGTGAATGTACTAAATGCCACTGAACTGGACACTTAACAATGTTAAGAGAGTAAATTTTTTTTTTTTAAAGATTTTATTTATTTATTTGACAGAGAGAGACACAGTGAAAGAGGGAACACAAGCAGAGGGAGTGGGAGAGGGAGAAGCAGGCTGGCTCCCCGCAGAGCAGGGAGCCCGATGCGGGGCTCCATCCCAGGACCCCGGGATCATGACCTGAGCCGAAGGCAGACGCTTAACGACTGAGCCACTCAGGCGCCCCAAGAGGGTAAATTTTATGTATATTTTACCACAGGAAAAAAAAAGAAAAAGAAACACTTTGTTTCTAATGAAACTCTTCACCAAGAGAAAAATCTAGTTTTTGGTAAAACTAACAGGGAACTATTAGACATTTTTGGTTGGAGAGGAAATTTTTTAAAATTTTCAGAAGGGCAATTTGTTCACATGGGTATATAATATATATTCTTTTAAAATGCCCACATATCTCTTTTAGAGTGTAATTGTGCTTTATTTGGGGAAAACAAATAATTTCACAATGCGATGTTTATTTTTATCTTAATAATACACAGACATGGTTAAAAGAACAAGTCAGACACAGTGCTTATAAAGAAAACAGCTCTCCTCCGGCCCACTGCTGCCCATCCCAGGAGAAACGCTTGCCAGACAGAGCCACTTTTAATCCCTTTAGCTCTTTCTTACAGGGTTTACTCCAGTTGTTCAGACACTTTACTTTTTTTTAAATATTTCATTTATTTATATGAGAGAGAGCAAGAGCAAGAGAGATCACAGAGGGAGTGGGAGAGGGAGAAGCAGGCTTCCCGCTGAGCAAGGAGCCCGATGCGGGGCTAGGTCCCGGGACCCCGGGATCATGACCTGAGCTGAAGGCAGAGCTTAACGACTGAGCCACCCAGGGGCCCCTGTTCATACACTTTAACCAAGGGATTCCCTGCTACAAATCTATCCTAAAAATATTATCACAGGGGTGCCTGGGTGGCTCAGTCGTTAAGCGTCCGCCTTCAGCTCAGGTCATGATCCCGGGGTCCTGGGATCGAGCCCCGCGTCGGGCTCCCTGCTCGGCGGGAAGCCTGCTTCTCTCTCTCCCACTCCCCCTGCTTGTGTTCCCTCTTTCACTGTGTCTCTCTCTGTCAAATAAATAAAATCTTAAAAAAAAAATATTATCACATATGTGCACAAAGATGTAGGTACAGGGCTGTCCATCCCATAGGTGTTTATAATAACAAGGAAGCTGGAAGCAACAATTGTTTGGATTGTTTGATAAATGATGTCCTAAATGTGCAGAAAAGATTGAGACAGATATTAAATGACATGGGAAGAAATAAATAAATACAGATTACATAAATATAGAATAAAATGCTGATAGGGATTATCTTTGGATAGTGGCTATTAAAGATGAATTTTTCATTGTGTACGCTTTAATTTCAAAACTCTCCTTAATAAATATGTGCTTGCTTATAACCAGAGGAGGAAGACCGTGACATATCAATACGTGAAGTTCCTTGTTTGGAAAATCCTTTCCCAAATTCGCTGTCTCAGTCAGGATGCTTCTGTTGAGCATGGGGGCGCTCAACTCAGACTAGCTTAAGCAGAAAAAAAAGGGGGACAAAGGACTTAACTGGTTTCCAGAGCTGTGCCCCACAGGCACAGACAGCCCCCCAGCTCCCTCCCTGGCAGGGCTTTGCGGGCAGGGGCCCTCCACCCCGTGGTGACCGGGCAGGGACGGGGCAGACAAGCGCACCACTGCCCCTATGTCCACACTGATAACAGAAGGTCTGAAAGGTCTCAGAATATAAGCAGGTTGTAGGAATAAAGGTGATTCTATTTTCTTTAAACCGTCCTGCATCGTTTACGATGGGCATGCATTACTCCTCCACAATTACTAACAGATTTACTGAGCGGGTAGCACATACCAAACGCTCTACTAAATGCTTTACGAAGGCCTTGGGCCTCCGTCCCCCACCTCCCACTGTCCTCAAACCGAGATGAGGGCCCCAATCCGAAGAGAAGCCATCCCTAAAATAAAGGCCCGGGACCCCAAGGTCACTCCTCCCTCTCCCCGCCCGGATACAGAGCAAGCTGAGGATCAGCCTCCGCTGGTCTCGCAGGACGCGGCCAGGGTGCTTTCCTCGAAGCGCGACCCCAGCACTGCTGTGTTCCAGGTGGCCATGAACACGCATGCACATGTCACCGGCACTCCCGGAAGCGCCGTCTGGGTTCAGGTGCCTGGGGACACACGGCTGCAGGGCAGCAACACTGAACCCGGGCATGCAGCTGACCCCGGCTCACTTTTCTGCACACAGCCATGTGGCGGGGTCTCCGGATCCAGACCAAGTCCTTGCTGTTTGGTGAGTCACAGAGGCCTGGCCCCTGGCTTCTCACCCAGCCCCCACTGTAGGCCTCGCACGTGCGGATAGGGGAGGAAGCCCCGCTTCGGTGCCTCAGGGCCACCTCCCCCCAGAATCTGCATGCCCCTCCATGGTCTTCACAAGGCCTATGGGCGCCAGCTCCCCACCCCAGGCAACAGAGCCCACGTCCCACCACAGGGAAGGGGCCACCTTCCTCTTGGGGCAGTCCTGGCAGGGGGAAGGATTACTGACCCTGGAGTCCTGGCATCCCTTAGCCCGTGTGGGAAGTGAGCTCCGAAACTGCTAAGCGTGGAGGGGGCTCGTCGCCCACGGCCCAAGCACAGGCCTCTCCCAGACCCCCTTCCCCTGTGCTTCAGGCCCGGAGGCACTGCACAGTCCCGGAGACTCCCAGGCTGCCGGAGTTGGGGAAGCAGCGCCAAAGGCCAAGCCCTGGCCTCGGGTCCTGCCCACACCCTCTTTCCGCGCGTGCACAGGAACACGCATGCCTCACACAGGAGAATCTTGGCAAGTGAATGGATGTCAGTGTGGATGCAAACAGGCAAAGACTTTCTGGGGAAAGGGGGTCCCCCTGCCTCCCACCTCGGTGGGCACCAGAGGACACTCTGGGGTGAGGAAAAGGACCCTTGGCTCTGGACACTGTTGGGCTGATGTCCACGCCCACTCTTCCCCCCTCTCTGTGGGCACACGTGGGGCTTGGGCCCCCACCACAAGATGTCCACACGGGGCTTCTGGGCATCGGGACGGTCCTCAAGTGCCTTTTTCTTCAACCCGGCTTTGGTGAACACACGATTCAGGTATGAATATAGAGACAGCTGCAGACGCACGGCTCGTGTTAAGCTGTGTCACATGTTTATTGCGGCTCAGGGACGGGACGGAACGCTGAGCATGGGCTCCTCGGCGCTGGGTCAGGCTCTGCAGTGAGTGGTCACAGATTTGCGGGCAACTCTTCCTTCTCGCTGGGGCCACCGCTAATGCAGCCCTGCAACACGGCAGAGCGGCGGGGTCAGTCACTTACCTAACGCACGCCCACTCCACTCTCCTGTGCTGGACACAAGAGTTTACAACCACAGGACAGGGGCACTGACATTAAGGCTGAGTTCCACACTTCTTTCTCATGGTACGGAGGATGCTCAGTTCACACACACACACACACACACAGCGTCTCAGATTCGCCATCTCTGTTGCACACTCAATGCAATTGCATGACCCGAGCTGAGCACTGCAAGGGAATGAGGCTGGGCTCCCCCTGCATGAGGTGGGCTGGTGTGCGGAGCGTGTCCAGGCAGGACTTCCTGCACAGAGAGACCGGCTGCCCGGGAGACCCACGGCGCTAACTCACGCCTGGCCCCGGTTCTCCGAGGAAGTGTGGTCCTGGTGGACATGCCCCGACAGACCTTTCCCGCCTAAGTCTTGTTTTTCCTACTGAACAAAGATGGACTCGAATGTTAGTGGACAACCTCTGAATAAAGTCTTTGAGAATGGACAGGGTATGAAGTAGGGCGATGCACTAGTCCAAGGAGAAAAACTTGACTAGGAAAAACATTCTAAGTATCATGCCACCCCAGGAGTCTCTCGGCACCACTCTTGTACATCCTGTGTGAGAGCAGCCCGCGAGGGAGCTGCGGCCAAGTCAGAGCTATGTGACGCGGTTGCTCCACGACCAGTCTACACGACACTCAGTTCTGAGCAAGCTCGCGGGCCTCCTCGCTGAAGGACGGGACTGTGGCTGCATGTCGGCGAGCCTGTTTGCCCCTGTGCATCAGAACAGAGCCTTCGTACCAACAGCAAACGACATAGTGAGGATTTTTCTGGTGGGGCTCAAATCACACCATAGGGCTAGAGCTCTTAAATTATGTGAAATATCTTAATAAGAAATCTGAGAAAAGAAAGTTTTTTACCTTGGTGAAATATTTCTTTTAACACATCCCGTTAAAAAAAAAAAAAAAAAACCAACATAACAAAATGCTTGTTACCCTTACCCCTCTCCTGAAGAGTCTGTAGAAGAAGCCTCTCTTCGGTTTGGGAACCGGGTGATACGTTTTCTCTTCTATATTCAACACCGTGTGTTCTTCAGGCTCCTCTTCATTGATGTCCTTAAAACAACCCGATTCGATCATCTGCGTCCACACAAGAGCAGGACAGAGAAGGGGAGAGACACTGCGAGGTCAGTCAGCCATTTCCCGCCCGACACCCAGCTCAGCAGGCGGGGGCCACTCCCGTCCCCATGCTTGGGGTAGGGAACACAGCCTCCTCCTCCTCCCTCTGAGTGCACCCCCAGAGCAGGTAAGGACCGGGCACCAGCCAGGCCCACTCTGAAAGTGGGACCCGGGATGGTGAACTGTCCGCCTCCCGTGCAGGGACCGGGGCAGCTGCCTTGCCTAATCTTACCTCCAAACACACACGCGCACACACAATTGTTTCCTCCCAGGATAAACCGGCAGTACCTCGTTCTGCCAGGGGATGGAGACACAGCCCGTGGCAAACTGACTGTAGAACGTGTCATCTGTGGTGTCCAGGTGGACTCCTCTCACCGTGGAGAACTGCTCGATATCCACGACGTCCTTACAGTAAATGGCCTGCGGCTGTGCACCACCAACCAAGAGGCGTTGGCCTCTGGGATGACTGGAGTCGTTCCTAGTCTCCTTAATTACTAAGAACGCAGCGCATGTGAAACCGACGCGTTCACACCGTATTTGAGGCCTTTCCCTCCCTCTCGGGAGCTCTCCTCGGTCACAAACCCCGTGGACCCCCTCTGGTCCGCAAACCCCCCGAGGCCCCCACCTTTCCCTTTCCTGCAGTGGGAAATGGGTGACAGGCCGGGGCAGGATGAAGGGCCATGGGACCCTTGGCCTCCTTCACGTGAAGCGCCCCACGCAAAGTCTAAGTGAACAAGGGCAGGTCCCGCTTCTCGACCTCCTGTCAGAGCTCCTCTAGTGGCCTCCAGCCGCCCCTCCTCTGGGACAGGAGCCCTGGCTGAGCTGCCCTCAGCAGCAAGCCAGCAGGGCGCACCCGAGCCTGGGCCGCGGCCCCCTCCAGCCCAGCCACCCGAGCTCCTGGAAATGGGGAACAAAACGCACCGGAGTCCAGCTACCAGCCAAACTGTGGTCATGCAAGAGGCACCTGGCAGTTTTGAGAAACGCCCTGCCCGCGTGCGGGAATCTGCACGATCCAAGAAGGGACATCCTGTAGGCCGCTGGTCAGCACACCTCAGAGCAGCCGCTACCCATTCAGTCCCCACACAGCAGGGCCATGGAAGCAAGTGGGGGCCCCACTCAGGAGACAGCCCAGGGCAAGGCTGGGGAGGCCTGAGCCCAGGCTGAAGGCCCAGAACCCCATCCTGCCCCCTGACCCGTTACCATGGGACTCCCCTGTCAGCGGGCCCCACGGTTCCTCTGGTCACATTCAGTAGAATACCCAGAATGTCAGCTCCAGAGCCCCGACCTTGCAGGCCCTGCCCCAGGCCTCTGAGCACAGCAAGGGGAGTCATCGCTGCTCCCTGAAGACTGCCTTCCCTGCTCCTCTCAGACCCCACGGCCGTGTCAAGTCCCTGGGGCGCGCCATCCCTGTTCAGGAGTCGGCTGGTCTGCAGGCTGGAGCGAGCACCAGAGCGGGGACACCTGGCTTTCTTGTGCTCCCTGCGGTCCTAATGCCTCCACCTGTGTCTAGAGGTGGTGGGCACCCAGGAAACACGTAATGTGTGAACTAATTCAAAGGAAGGAGGTCCTACTACAACATACTGGAATATGAAAACATAGTAAGTCTGGACTTGTACAACTAAAAATGTTTTCATTGTACGTCTCAGTTCCATCATATCCTGCAGAATTATCTCCACCTTTCTGGAATGCACGGGTAGCAGACTGTTAAGAAGAGAGCCCAGACTGCTGTTGTTCATTTCTGCTTTCCTCAGCAGGAATCTCCTGCCTGCAGGTGTTCCCACCAAGCACTGACCCAAGCCAGGCCCTGTGCTAAGCATGTGGACACGGCCCCTGAGTAGGCCCCACAGCAGGCTCACAGGAGGCTCAGGTGACCTCCAGGGCTCCCTGTGGGCAGCGTGCTGCCAAGACCTAGGAGACACGGAGAGGGGAAGGGCTTCCCAGACTAAAGGCGCTGACACAAAAAAGGGGATGCTGTCACACGGAAGGCCTTGCAGGGCCCGACTAGGAGGTCGTGTGGTGGTGCTGGGGCTCTGAGCAGGAAGGCCTGTGGGGACCTGTGAGGACAGTGTGGTGAGTGGCCGGGGGCTGGGAGGGGCCACCCAAGCAGAAGCACAGTCAGGCTGCACCAGCGCTTCTGCATCTGCTGGAAAATTACGGGGTTCCATGGATCCATTTTCTTGGACACCCTGTTCCTGGGCAACGTACTTACATCAGGACAGAAAGGCGGATCTAACATATTTGCTTCCAGCCTCTTGAAATTAATGTCCTTGAACACGGGATGAGCCTTCACTTCTGCCACTCCAGCCTTGCTGCCCAGCCGCTGTTTGGGATTCTTGGTGAGTAACTGCAAGAGGCAGAAACGGAGTCAATTTAAGCTCCTAGGATAGAAGAGAGAACTCGGAAAGTCTCCATAATAATAAGCAAAGAATCAGGGGTAGCAAAGAGCGTCTCCATCTAAACAAAGTTACTCAAATTTCAAAGTTTCAACCAAACCTCCTTAATTCAGATTTCATGAGTTTAGAATATACGATGCTTCAAAAAGGAGTGGAAACTAATATAACAGCCTTTGAACTACCAATAAATAAAGGTCGGCTAAGTAAATCTTTAAGAAAAAAGTTTTAGCCACGTAAAAATTAGGGGGCTCTTTAAAAAGAAATAGGAACTGTCAAGAACTTCACAGATACCATTTGAATGCTAAGTTATGTTTATAATTGGAAACTATTTTAATCTATTCATTAAATAGATCACTAAGGAGCTCAGATGAGGCAAAAATTTGGCAAACCAAGTTCTAGAAATTGTATATTCTTAAAATGGACAGCATCGCTTTCAAAAGTATTCCTTACTCATATATTCATAATTTTCACCAAATAGGCCCTCATCCACAGTTACCATCAGTCAGAAAGGTTTGGCTGTGCTCAAAGCAAAACAGGACAGATTTAGCTCTACAGCGTGGCCAGGCTGCGGCCCGGAAGCTGCCTGACCTCGTCGCGGAGGTTTTAGCACAACACAGCCCGGGCCGTGCTGTCTCGTTACGGTGGTGGGCGCCGCAGCTGTGCGAGGAACCGGCCAAGTCTAAGTCTGACTCACTACCTGGCCCCTCACAGAGAAGTCTGCTGACCTGGCCTCGCCTCACAGCCCGCACCCACCGCTCTTCTGAAGAGAAACCAAACTCCCAGGCAAAGAGCCGAGCACATTCTGCGTCTGGCATGTGTGCACCAGCCCGCACACCCCTGCAGCCCTCGCTGTGTGAACTGTGCATGCAGCACACACCCTCCCTTGCTCACCTCCTCACGGCCTGCACACGCACTACGCCCTCTGTCTAGAAGACCCTTCGCCTGGCTGAGCCGGGCTCCAGCTTCCTACCTTCAGAGCGTGCTCCCTCAGGACACCTGTCCCTCCTGGTGTGACGCCATCACTTGGGGAAGTACTCACGGCCAGTCCCTCCTGCTGGACCCACACCTCCAGAGGCAGGGCCGTGGGAAATCCCGCTCACTGGGGCAGCGCCCACACCTCGCCAGGGCAAGGGCTCGACAAGATTTGCTCAGTGCAGTTATTCTTGGTACGCTTTGCTCATTAAAAACAGATCTGAGAATTCAGTGTGATGCCAAATACAATCCCAGCGTCTCAGGGGCTCCGGGACTCCATCATCAACCCTGCTGCTGACACACACCTATCCGATGGCCTTGGACTTGTGCTCAGAACGTCTGGGTTCAAGTTTGCCCACTGACATCCCAGTATGGGATGTCACAGAAATCAAACTTAAGGGCACCTGGGCGGCTCAGTCGGTCAAGCCACTGACTCTTGATTTCAGCTCAGGCCGTGATTTCAGGGTCAGGGGCTCCGTGCTCAGCGGGGAGTCTGCTTGGGATTCTCTCTCCGTCTGCCCCTCCCCCAACTCATGCGCTCTGTCGCGCGCTCTCTCTCTCTCTCTAAACTAAATAAAATCGGGCGCCTGGGTGGCTCAGTTGGTTAAGCGACTGCCTCCGGCTCAGGTCATGATCCTGGAGTCCCGGGATCGAGTCCCGCATCGGGCTCCCTGCTCGGCAGGGAGTCTGCTTCTCCCTCCGACCCTCCCCCCTCTC